ACAAAAGGCCAAACGAGCCAACTTGATCATGCTTCAGACAAAGAACAAGATGCCATTTCATGTACAAAAGGCCAAACGAGTGGCAGTTGAATGTTTCAGCGATGCTGGCAATGGAACAGCATCTTTCATGACACCCCAAGGCAGCAAAATAGGTTCTGGGACACAAAAGTCCAGGCTTCATAGCACAGAGGTTTCTTCTCCTGCTCCTTGCTGCTCCCTCTGTCATCTGAGGCAACCACCTTGCTCTTCCTCACTCTACATAATGGCAGGGCCAGCCCAGAGTTCAAGCGTTGGCTCCCAGCATCTCCAGGCAAAATGAGGCTGTGTATAGAAGAGTGTAGAGCACAAGACATATGCAGGAGACCCAGGTTCAGATCTACTTGTAGATGCATTTCTTTATAGAAACATAGACCAGTCACCATCTCATCAATCTCTGGATGGTTTCAGTTAGGACAATTTGGGAGGAAAGGCCATATTGGGGAATAACCATGGGTATTGCTCTAAGCAGCTTGGAAAATGAATGAAATAAAAATGTAAGTTATAAAGTAACTCTAATAATCAGGGTCTTTCAAATGAGTTGTGGCTGTAGGTGTCCCAGAGACAGGGCATACAGGTCCCAGTTTCCTTTATTTGTGGATTTCAATGACTTCCCAGTGGCCCTCAGTCCAAGGAAAGTTGTCCATGCCTGCCATAAGCAAAGGGGATCAAAGAAGCTTCTCTCATTCTCTTACATCCCACGCCTGTCCAATGAAGTTCAATAGTGACAGATTCTGGCCAGAAAAAAGAAGTACCTCTTCACACAGCATATTATTAAACTACAGAATTTCTACCACAGAAAGTAGCAATGGCTACCAGTATGGATGGCATTAACAGTGGTTTAAATAAACTCGTAAGAATGTTGGAAGGGTTTTTTTTAATAATCTCGCATGCAGACTCTAGTAGGTGTGGCAAGGAGGGGCTGGAGTGACTGTCAGTCTATCCAGCACTAACCAATAATTCCTTCCCACCTCTGAATTCAGAAAGAGTCCCACCTGTCTACTGTATGTTGAAGCAGTTGGTTCTTTTGTTTCCTGATGATATGTTCACAACGGTTAATAATGAAACATTATTATTCTTTCTCTTCAGATATATTACTCTTCAGATATATTACTCTTCAGATATATTACTCTTAAGGTATTAGGAGTGAATTATTGAGATTGTAAGTGCAAGTAAATGAGAAAAGGTATGGACTCTCTGGGGAACTTGCAGTTATTCTCGTCTATGAATCTCTGTACTTCTATCGCACGGCTAAAGGAATTTAACCCAAACTTCAAAACTCTGCAACAGAGAATAGGACTATCAATAGCTATCAGTCAGAATGGCTGTATATGGTCACCAGTATCAGAGGTGCTATGACCTAAATAGCAGTTACTGGAGAGTACCCAGGTTCTCTTTAGGGGCTTTCTAGAAGCATCTAGCCAGCCATAGATGGAATACAAATGACTGGACTGGAAAAACCTTAGTTTTGAACCAGCATTACTCTTTTCATGTTATTAGATTCCAGTGAGCTCACTAAAAATTCCCATCAAGTAAACACACAGGATTGGGATGTTTGGCTGTCAAATTTATTTCCTTTATTTTAACTTTACGTCTCAATGGATAAGATTCTGAAGGAAGGATACATTACAACTGAAAAAAACAGAAACTATACCTCATTTTTGGTAAGAGTGCACAAAATCTTCAGGACTGTTGTGTCTGAGACTCTTTGAAGAGAAAAGGAGTGGAGGAATATCTTGTTTCTAAAAACGTCAGGAAAGAACAGGCCTCACATGGACAAAAGATCACCAGACAGCCATTTTTATTTCCTGACCCCTCAGGAGGATATTAAAACTGAACTGTCCTGTAGTTTTGAAGATTATCCTTCTTCCAGAATAAGTGTTTGTTGTTGTTGTTGTTTTTTGCTTTGCTCATGATCTGCATTTAAAAAAAAATTAACTGTCCTTCCTTTGTTTCTTTGTCCCCCCTCGTGGCGCAGTGGTTAAAACGCTGTACTGCAGTTAGAACTGTGCTCACGACCTGGGGTTCAAATCCCAGGTAGCCGGCTCAAGGTTGACTCAGCCTTCCATCCTTCCGAGGTCGGTAAAATGAGTACCCAGCTTGCTGGGGGGGCAATGTGTAATCACCAGACAGCCATTTTTATTTCCTGGCCCCTCAGGAGGATATTAAAACTGAACTGCCCTGTAGTTTTGAAGATTATCCTTCTACCAGAATAAGTGTTTGTTGTTGTTGTTTTTTGTTTTGCTCATGATCTGCATTAAAAAAATCCCCAGTTTGTTGTTAAACTGTAAAGTGATCACGTCTCTGCAGGGATATATCTCTTTCCTGGTAAAACAGGGTTATTAAAATACAAATGCTAAAGATTCTGAACTCACTGGTTCATAAAGGCACCCAGAATACGACGTCTCGATTCTTCTTCTCGCCTATAACCATGCTCACATGTGGTAATACGGTTTCTCAATCAGCTATTTAACTGTCATTAAACAGAAGGTTTTAATGTCCTTGATGCGATAGGGGAAGAGTGCTCGAGGCTTTGGTTCTCATTTCAAAGTCAGCTCATAAATGCTTTTATAGTTCTGGAGTGGTTAAGGATATTGATCAGACTGAAGAGCCAGTCCCTGGTCACCGAGGCGCAAGTGGTAAATGGAACATGAGAGGAACGTGCACCAAGAAAGAAAGTGGTGAGAGCAAAAGGAAAGAGAGGCACAATGGGGGCCAATGCTGGAAGATCCATATGGATGTACTTCATACGCTCCTGACAGTCAATTAATAGATAAAATGGCAGAGTAATAAGAGAATGTAAGCAAAACCTATAAGCCCAGTCAATAACTCACCACCCATTGACATGTAAGTTGATACTGGTACCCTAGACACCCTATTAAAATGCAATGTTTCCTCTGATGCATGGGAGTTAAGAAGTGAAAGAGTCAAGGTTTGGTGAGGATGAACAGAAATGCATGTACGTATTACTCAGCTGTGGTGGTATATGACAGAACAGGTATCCTTGGCTTGACACTGAGATATGACATTATGAAGACTTGAAGGAGAACATGGCTTGCCCAAGGTTACTGTGTCCTTATACACACAAAATCAGAGCTTGGAAAAGTCACCTTAGAAGACCACATGAGCTGTAGGCTTCTGAGAAATGAAGTCAAAAATAAAATAAAACACAACAAAATAAATCCTGTTCAGTTGAACACACTACTGCCTGTGCAGGTATGACTTTCCCTTTGTCATGACAACAGTGGATCTCAGGTCCAGTTACCCTAACAGGCAGGGGCCATCGCTCTTTGTCTGTACAAATATAAAGGTCTTGGATTTTACTCTAGGTACCAAGGCAGCAGGCCTAATATTGCATTACTCCAGAAAAGGAGCCCCGATACTGAACTAAATGGGACTAATGCCTGAATAGACATGGATAGGATTCCACTGCCTGCTAGACTGCTGGTGGAAGTTTTAGAAAGCTAGTATATAGCTTAGACTGAGATTAAATCAGTGTCCAGCCATCTATGGCGGATTATATCACCCAGTGTCTCCAGCCAGCAGTGTACCACATCTGAAAGGAAAAGCATTGGGCAAAATATAGAGAAGACTACTGAGCCCTCTTTGGGCACCACAGGACAAGATTACCTGTTTTAAGTAATTAAAGCCTTCCCCCTCTCCCCCATCTCTTCCGGCAGCCACCACCCCCCCATGAGAAGAAGGATTCCACAGGGCCTCAGGGGAGAAATGGGAGATGTTCCAAAAAATGGCTGTAGCTAGTAACACAGTAAGGCTTATGTGATGTAACATGCAAATTGGAATATTTTATTTCTGAAAAATCAGAAATATGATGGAACAATGCATTTAAAAAAGTAAATAAAGATTCTTGGGCTGAAATCCTGTTGCCATATGCTATGTCATGTAAGGCTGATTTTTCTAAGCATTTCAGTAGATTCCATTCCACTGCACTTATAACATATTGAAAAGAAGAGTTATTTAGGGTTTTTTTATGCATTGTTCCAGATGGGGTCATAAATCTGCCTTAGTTCCTTATATTTTGGTATGCATGTTTTTTCGTATTGCTTTTTAAAAAAATGTACACTAATACTTACTATTTTTTTATTTGGTTTACATTCTTTCCTCCCTCAAAAGAGCCTGGGATGGCTAGCCATTTATATTAAACCAACAAACAAGCCACCAGTTAAAATCACCGATTACAGATTTTTGAAATCAGAAATTAAAAAAAGAAAAGCACATATTGCAGATACCTAAAATTACAAATATCTAACATGGCAGCTTCTAACTGGTTGGGGAAAAACCCCATTAAGAACAAAGAAACAAGCAGCAGTCAGTGACTGATTTTGCTTATGCCTTGAATGCTGGCACAAAAATGTATGTTTGTAACTGGCACCAGAAAAACAAAAGTGTGGGGCAGCAAGAGAGCTTTGAAAGAAGAGACTATAATCTGGGTGCCACTACTAATGAACCTCTGTCATGTTGGTAGCCCTATGGCCCATGGTAGTCTTGGGCCCCACAAGCAGAGCCTTTCTGGTTGATCTTACATCTTCAGGTGGGCACGCATGGTTTGGCAAATGCGCAAAAATGTATCGCAAGCCTCAAAAATCCATGGACTTCCAAAGCAAAACACCACATTGTCCTATCTCTCATCGGAAGATGTACAATAAATATTTTTGTAGGGAAATGCAACCTTCACAAGTTTCTTTTCTGTCCTTCATCACATTTGTCTAATTTATTACAACAGAATTCATACTTTACTGATCTGGATTTATAACAGAGCTGAATCACAGCCATCATTTTTGAACAACTGAACTGAAGAAATACATACTGGCATCAAATCATAAAGGGAAAACACACACATCTTCTGCATCAGAGCTGCATCAAACTTTGCTTTCTAATTGTGCTCCCAGAAGTGATTCAATTCTTCATATTTCATTTAAAAAGCAATAAATATGGTTTCTTACCTTGATCTTCTGAAGAAACTGGGGATCTGAAAGTAAACAACAAAGACCAATCAGAATTTTTGGTTTCCTTTGCTTTTGATATGATTTTAAAAAACCACCAAAATTGGGTTTAAGCCACTCGTCAGAATTTCTGCGGGAACATTTAGTTAAAAACAGCCCAAATGATGCTAAAGTCTAAAACTAACTGTTACTCCTAACTGGACAAGTGATATGAAATGGATGAGTCAACTCTTGTTTAAGTCCCATTGAGTTGATAGGTCTACTTGAGGTTAGAGAGGATTTAACCCAACTTCTACAGATTAGGTTATGATCAGCTCTAACCGTTGGTGAAAATCCACTCCAGGTGCCCCATCGCCTCCATGCCTTTGCACCAAATTCAAGACCACTGTGGCCCTGGAGAAAGCAGAGCATGGGGGCATACCAGAAAATGCATAAGAGAGTCTTAATTGAATTATCATCTATCAGACTCAGAGCTTAGAGAGCCATTTTAGCAAAAGAAATTAGTGACAAGTTATATTTCAAAGGTGCCAAGAGAACAGTAATTCCTGTTAGAGTTTTAAATGTCACAAGAAAGAAACAGGCCCATACACCAGAGCACAGAGTGCTGTCCTCTGAAGATGCTGGCCACAGAGACTGGTGAAATGTTAATTTTTATTATTATTATTATTATTATTATTATTATTATTAGGAAGAACAACCTTCAGAACACGACCAAAGAGCCTGAAAAAACAACAACAACCAAAGGTTAAAAGTGCTTATGTCCCAGCCCTTAAAAGACAGAGAAATATTATTTTGATATGGATTCAGCCATCAAGGTTGATGCAGTAACTGCTTTCTTAGCAAACTGAAAGTGGATCAACATTCTTCAAGCCTAGACCAAATCTTACTAATAAACTGCACTCTGTGCTCAAAAACACACACACACCCAGTATTTGTTCTGAGATGACAGGTGCAGGATCAAGAAAGAATTTAGTCAGCTCTACTGACTTACACCATAATTATTAAAAGAGAAAAAGAGAACTGCATATGACAGTCAGTGTAGTGTAGAGTGAAAAACTACATGTTCTGAGTTCAAGCTGCTACTTTATCTCACTGAAGTGTAGAACTGGTAAAACCACTTCTTAATTAAAAACCTTACTAAAGTTGTTAGGAGTCAGATGTGACTTGACAGCCCATAACAACAAAATATGATAACATGATAAGTTGCATTTCTTTTCCTACTGAAGCTGAGCAGGAAATAGGTCTTGCAGGAGGCAGAAGAATGAATGAATGAAAATACACTACTAGGAAAACATTAAGGAAAAGTATACTTTGTGGAAGGGATTATTGATCCTTGTTTTCCTTTCCCGGTTTCTCTTCTTCCAGGCTTGACCTGTAGTCTCTAATGTTAGAAGTGCCAGGGATTAAGTGGTGCCCACCCATTATCCTTCTTCCATCAGACCCAGTACACAATTGAAAAGTCATTTCCCAGCTTCAGCTATCTCATGACAGAGTACGAAAATAACAGAATACTGTAATTGCTTTTGCGAGTCTGCCCAAAGAGGAGTGTATAATCAAAAGGTCCATCAAGTTTGCCATTTGGGCAGCTGGTGTGTGCAGGGAGAATGGGATGATTGGGTCCAGGCCCCAGCCAAAGACGGGGATTATAGTTCAGTAGTGCTCAAAGGCTTGCGTACTGAAGGTTTCAGGTCACCTGGCATCTCCACTTCAACAAATTAGGTAGCAAATAAATGGAAAGATGTCCTCCCTGAGACTTGCTCCTGCCAGTCTCTGAACTTTGGGAAGTCCATCCTCCTCCTCCTCCTCCTCCTCATCATCATAATTCATTGTTGTTCTTTTTGTTGCTTAACTATATCACTCAGAATCTTCACATTAGCATGGCCAGCTGCCCAGGGGTTTCTGGAAAGTGTTGTCCAAACCTTCGCAACACGGTGAACCCAGCCAACATAGGCAACACTGGTCTAGATGGATAAATGAACTGAAAGGGCAGCAATGCCCTGAAACTTGCTTATCCAATTCCCTCTCCTGGTGAAAGACACAGAGCTAATATGGTCAGCTAATATAGCATACTGGTATCTGTAAGGCTTCCACTTGAGCTATATATTTTTGCTACGCTGTCCAGGAAAACCAAGCAAAGGGGAAAACATTTTATGAGTTATTAACCCCATGCAGATCTATGACCTTCCTACCGTTTAGACCCCCTTGTGGTCATCCAATAACAGGAGGGAAATCTAGCCACAGGTACTGCCTGTCATTTAAAGCCAGAAAAGGACAGCAAAACAGTTATTCATGTTTGCTATCACAAGCAACCATCTTCTTTAAAACCCTTTAAAAAATGTCTTGCACTCATCAGCATTTACTGTCACAGCAAGATAGGTAAAGGTAATTAGCTCTGCATCTGAAATGACCAAAAGAAGTAGGAGAGGAAATTGGCATGACAATTGCTACATAGGAAACAATTGAAAGCGAAAAACAAAAATATACTAACAAAAGGATCAAACAAATACCACTCTAAGCAATGGTAAACAAAAGCAGTACTAAAAACAAATTCAAAGCAGTAAGGCATAACAATCCATTTAAAAATCCCACTCAGGCAGCCAGTCACTGAGGGAAAGATTGTCTGAAGAGCAAGGTCTTTGCCTGCTCGCAAAAGGACAGCAAAGATGGAGCCAGTCTGGCCTCCTGTGGGAGGGAGTTCCAGAGTCTGGGAGCAGCCACAGAGAAGGCCCTCTCCTGTGTCCCCACCAAACACACCTGTGAAGCCAATCTTTTAGCCAGCATTGTACCAAAAATTCATGGTAACTCCCTACAGAACTTGGAAAAATCACTCCTTTATTTTTTGTTTGTTTGTTTGTTTGTTTTGACTGCATGTCCCTGAATCCCACATCCAATACGGAGAAGGCCCTGGACTCGAAACCCAGAATTCTTGGCTCACTTCACCTAGTTCATAGGGTCCTGTTCTTCTAAAGACCTGTTGACTCAACATGAATAAGGATCAAGAGAACCCTTTCACTGAAGTAAAACACTGGCCAACTGGACCTCTTTTAACGCTATCAAGGAGGAGGAAAGCAGCATAGGAATTCATTTGCATGACAGGAAACAAGACACATGGATCATTTGCGACAGTATAGAGCTCAGTCTATGTGATTTGAGAATTCATGGAAATGTAACTAGCCTCCTTCAGGCACATTCTAAGCAAAATTCCAGTAACCGGGTACATTATTCATAAAGACAAAAAGCCTCCAGAGAAACAGCAAGCTGATGTAAAGCAGCTATTTTTATCAATAACCCTCTAACTGAGGCCCTCTGCAACCTAGAGCAGAGCCTTCAACAATTTAAAGTACCAAATAACAATGCCTTTATAGCACCTCTGTGGAGTCTTATGGCCCTTCTCTGCTTCGCTAATCAAGTAATGCGTTTTCCACATAGTTGCTAACTTCTTCTGAAAAGATTTCATTTATTAGTTCACTGGCCAAAAAGAGAGCCTAAAACTTTTTTCCTCCTTTTTTTAAAAATGTGTCTCTCTGCTCTCGTAAGCTCTTCTGCAATTGAAGGAAGTCAATTTTTAAAAACGTGAATAGTTTTCTAAGCTTGGATGTTGTTTTGAACAGAGGTGAAAGTGGTCCAAGATTGTGGGCCCATAAATGTAGACACATTTGTTTTGCCCTGTTTACTCTTCTGATCACACATCTATAGCAGTTATTTGATACAACACAAAATAAAAGATATAAAAGCAGTTCCCCCCCAAAGTCATTTTGAGCTCTCCAAAACACAATCATGTACCCCTAGGGTAAGATTCCCACCAGAGTGTCAAATTCATTTCAGACTATCTGAAGTTTACAAAGGATGCCTTTTAGATTATAAAATCAGCATGAGAATTATACTTTAAAAAAGTAACTTCCCAGGGTCTGAAGGTGACAGTGCCAGTCTTAAGCTATTTATGGTTAATAGATAAAGGCTACATTTGCATTTGTACTTTTCTGGCACCCAGGATCTGATTCTTGACTCAAGATTTGATCCTACCAAGCTACATGTGCAACCATTGGTTAATTCCTCTCTGGGGGGGAAATGGATAAAAGTGAGGGCAATGTAGCCTTCCTCCTATAAACCTTCCAAGCAAGATGCACTGGAGGGCAGGAAAATTTCCCTAAAATTTCTTCTGAAGGAAGCTTAGTCAGACATAACCTACTCCACCAATGAGCAAAGTGCAGCCCAGGGACTGCATGTGGCCTTGCCAGCCCTCCCCTCCACATCAATGCTTAGCGATTTAGTTTTAAACAAAAGCCTCTGGAAGTCCAATTGCTCTCTATTGAGCAAAAGGGGGAAATTGCAAAAATTGCAAAAATTGCAAAATTTGCAAAAATTTACAAACATTGAAAAAATGCAAAAAAAGAGCAAAAATGTTTTGTTCACATCTATTTTAGGCTGGGTTGGGTGGACATTGCCCATTCCATCTTAATACTCCCTACTGATATCAGTTAATTATCTTCCCAAATATTTCCATTGTTTGATAGGGTCATCAGAGTTGCACCAAGTCTGGTATACTAAAGGGAGGACAGGAATCATTGAAGAGTTAAAGATCCAACACCTATCCAGGTCCAAACATCGACAGCATCAAGAGATGTTTATGTTCTTTGATTGTGGCTCATAAAAAGAGAGGGCGAGAAAGAATAACTGAAGAAGGACTGTAGATAAGCCCAGGTGAAGATCAAATTAAGTATTTCATCGCAATTGCTCATGTTTCGGAAAGATCACAGTCTCTCACAGATGCTTTTGGACTGCAGCTCCCAGCATCCCACAGCTCCTAGCCAGCACAAGCAATACTTTTCTGTATTCTAAATAAATAATATTTGCAATTCTGTTATGGGTGCAGTACTGGGTTACATAAGATTACTGCAGATGTGCCTCTCAGAATCTCATGTGCACGTGTTTTTGGTAAACACTCGGGAACTCAAAGACAGTGCACCAGCCATCAAATCAGTTACAACTGGAGATGAGTACAAACCAAAAAATGGGTGATTCATGG